ATATCCATCTTGTTGTGCTGGTTTTGAGAGCGTGGTGCCCAGGTGGTTTCTCACTCCTCGCTCTCCCGTTGCTCTGTCCCTGACAGGTGGTGCTGAGGGTGGAAGGAGCCAGGAGGGGAGTCAGGGATTTTCATCAGCATAGTGTAGGGGCTGAATGAGAAGTGGAGAGGAGGGGGAGAGGAGGAGGAGGGCAGGAAGGCAGGAAGATGAGGCTCCAGAGAGGTGGACATGAGGTTGGATTTGGGCCGTCCAGAGTTAATGGGATCAGACGAGGAAGAGAAAGGGATATCTGTGCCGGTTAATGTTTAATCCCACACCCCCAACCCCTTGTCTCCTGCCTGAGGCACCCAGCATCTGATAATCCTTGGGCTGCCTCTGTTCATCATCAAGGTGTCGGAGGGAAGTGCCTCTGTAAATATTTAATTGGCTGCAGCATGCCGATGTTAATTATGCGGGTGTGTCTTTCCTTTGCTTTGCACTATGCCCCAGCGTTACTGACTGTGTCCTCGCACTTTCCTCCCCTGTTAATATTGATGCCACGTCATTGCTCCGCTCTCTCTGCTACTACTAACGCCAATACTGCTATTATCACCTCACACCACTGCTGCTACAACTGTATAACTCTTGCTGTTACGCAACATCCCGCAGTTCCATATTCTACTACAGCTTCGCCTCGTTCTCGATTGCCGTTTGTTTTCAGGACCTCACCTCACCCTGGTTATCTATTTCCACCTCTCCCTTCCAACCTTGTGCTGTGCCTTTCTCCTTCTCCTTTCAATTTCAAAACCACGGCAGTCTCTGTTAAAACGGATTATTGTTACGTGTGTCATCCGTCTTGACGCCAATCATGCTTTCAGAAGTAGCTTTGCCTCCTCTCTGTGTGTATTCGATCGTCAAGGGCAATGCAAAATAGATGAACAGTACAAAGACCGCCTTGCACGGACTACGCCGGCTAAAGTTGTACAGCTCAATAGAGCTCTACTCATAAGTGTCTGCCAGTAGCAAGTTCAATTACAAACAGGCACATGTAAAAGTCAAGAGAATACAAATCACGCAATAGATGTCTCACGGGTACTGAGCAAGCAGCCTCGCATTGCTGCAAAAAACACAATGCAGGAGAGCACAGGGACTAAAACACTGAAGCACAAGTGGAGAGAGTTTTATGAATGGTTACCTAGGGTCCAGCAGTAGATAAAGTGTTATCCACAGATGAGTAAAACAGATTTCTGCTTTTGCAGTAAAAACAGCTGAACTGATTGACGAAACACTTCCAGTAGTGGTAAAGTAATGGTCTACTAGCACAGTATTTTCCTGTGTAATCCCTCAGGCATGTCCATAAAATTTTATTCTCTTAAAAATGCCAGACAAATCTAGCCCCGAGGCTCAATGTTGTGTGCAGACAAAGGCTGCAGGGGGTCATTTGAACAGAATACAAGTGTGTGTCTGTGTGTGTGTGCGCGCTCATGTATGGTATGGAGACAGGGCTTCCTTTTGTGTGCCAAAACAGCAGGTCATAGCAAGGACAAGAGATACGGGTAGCCATGGCGGACTGCATCTGCTGTAGACAACAGTGAGCAGGGAGATTTAATATGCCTGAGTTCTCCTCGACACCAGGGGGCCACTGCAGTATTCACCAGCAATTCTGTTCTTACACGGTTATTTATCATTCCTCTATTCATACTCTGCTCACTTGTGGTTTATATAGGCTCGGGATTTGTCTCTCTCCTAAACAAATCCATTTTTGTTTCAGTAAAGTAGGGTACCGAAGCATTGAAGACAAAAAGCTTTCTTTTGGAATTCACATTGCGTTTGTGTTTCCGCATTTAGAGTCTGCAGGGTAGTCGGTGGTTTAAGCTTCCCTGTTGGCAAGCACAGCCTCGTTTCTAGAGTGTCAATGGGCGAGACTCCTGAATCCTCCTGGTGGGTGCAGTTCATCAGCCTGCATGCTGAGCCCCAGGAGGGAGCAGAGACAAAAAAAAGCAGAATTTGAGATAGGGATCAATAAAGCCAGAAGTGGCCCAGGAATTGGTAGTGATTGTAGTGATGTCTGACGATTCTGTTTTGGCCATGCAACAGCCTGCTGGATGCACTCTGGACCCATTATTGTTCTGTTTGATCATGTCCGCTGTGTTCGGACGGCAACATTTGAAATTATTTCCTGAAAAATGGATAAATCATGTGGATTACATCAAAGGGTTTTGCGACACATGCTGTCATTCAGCCAGATGATGTTTACACCCCCCAACACTCCCACTGTCCTATTAATGAGGCGCCGCAGATGCACACTTTAGATTCATTTATCTGTCGAAGCAATAACCGTTATAGTATATTTGATTTGATTTGATTGCTGTGGCCAATTTTGAACAACAGAATTACCAATGTGCGACACTCTTCAGACAAAGTCCTGCACTCCTACACTTTCGGCTGTAAAGCATGGAGATTGAAAACAGGTGTATCAGATTAGGGAATGCATCATATATTCATAATTTCATCTACCTAAAGAAAGTGTCAGATGATGCTGTCAAACAACAACAAATGTTTGTCAAAATAGTAGAAAACATACTTTGGCAAGAAGAAAAAAAAAGGAGGATGAACGCCAACTTTTGCCTCAGGACAGAGCTGGTCTCCCATCTCTCAAATACAGATCCTGGTCCTGATTATGTGTTCTACACAGGCTGTTGATATCCATAACAGTTTTTCTGTTGCGTCTGTTCCAAAGTCAAAGCTGTGACTGCACGCTGAGCAGTGAGAGTAAGTGAGGGGTCAGAAAACGTTTACAGTGTGCATAAAGCAGGGAGAGTGAATGCTAGATATCTGTGTGTTTGTCTCCTGGATCTTTGCTTCGATCGTTGTCACAATGAACTCAGGCAAACCTCCATCACAGCTCGTCTGTCGCGTCGATGAGTGTGTTTGCGTATGTTTGCGTAAGTTAACACGTCTGTGATTTGTCCTGTGACGCAGTGTGTGAGAGGAAATATGGACTGAATGTGTTGGCCTGGTTATCGTGTTGTGCAGCGTCTGGAAGTGAAGGCGGGGTGATACAGGTTTTAGAATGCGAGGTGCCAATCGAGCTGTGAAGATGGGAATTGAGTAGGGAAATGGGAATTGCTCCCCGCTGGTTTGTAACCTTCGCAGTGTTTGGAGCATCCAGCGTATGCATTCATTCAATCAAAATGGGTGCGTCGTGCGCGTGTCCCACTGGTTACATTATGTGATAGAGAGAGCGCCTTGTGTCTGCGATTGCGAATGTGGGGTAGTGTATGTTTATGACAGTGTGTCACACCCATCTCCAAGCCCCAAGCCCTGGAACTGAATTGAATTAACCTAAATAAAGTCTACTGTGTAGAGTACAGAGCACTTGAAAGGGAAACAGCTGAGCGCTTGAGCTGAGGACTGTCTGAGTCTAAGACAGGAAGCATTAGCACAGCGATGCAACATTACTCTGTAATAAAAGCCACAGATGAACGAAAGCTTGTGACAGTTTTTCCAACATTGGGCACAATGGCCAATGTGCCAAGCCCCTCCCCCCCAGGCTTTCAGAGAGAGAGAGAAAGATGCAGCCAGTTCTGGGATCCTTGGCCGGCCTAGATAGCACGGCAGCAGCAGCACCCATTAATGCGATTACAGCTTTTAGCAGGAGATTTTCAGGGCCACTTTTCTTTTGAGGCGTCATTAGTTTGTCCTCCTTTCTTGTTCTCCACCGGTATGTCAGCAAACAAAAACGCACACATTCACACAAATGAGCAGCAGACAGCTACTGTAACTGCCGAGCAGCACCATGCACCGATGCACACACACATGAATATATGAATACACAATGTAGCCTATATTTACTGTGATATAGCCAAACAGCACTGCATTCGCAAACGCGCAGAAAAGGCATAATTTGTCTTTATTTAAAAGATGATTAATTATTATTTAGAGAAGTTGGCAGTTCTCAGGACTTTCAGCTCTGCGGTTTGAAAACCTTTTGATTAGGAATCCACGAAGTGCATCGTAATTCTGAAGCCTCTCCAATTATTCTTTGTAATCAAACCATGATTCCACAAAGACCTTCCTTTAATTCAAAGCTGTAGTGCTGCATTGCCTTCATTTTGGGTCGCATCTCTTCCCGGGTTTCCTAATCGGCATGCTTAACATGTCCTTGTGCGGTTATTCAACAAACCTTGAGGTGCTTCTAAGCTACTCACTGCACCGGCTTCATTTCATAAAGTCACCATTTATTAAACCTCAAGGCTAGAACACAGCAAAGGCCTACTGGAGATATTGAGGTCATTTTGCAGGCAGAGGGAGAAAGAGATTGTCGGAGATGGAGGGAAGACACAAGCTGAGGTATCTGGTGTCATGCTGGGATTTGGCCGAGTCGAGATGGACCGAGCCAGGTGTCTTACCGGGGAGCAGCCCGTCGCAGTAAGCAATATAACTGCCAGCATATAAGGTCTTTGGTTATCTTTGTTTGCAGTCCAAGCAAGTTCACAAAAAACGACTTCAAACAACTTTAAAGTGTTTTTCCCACCTGAGTGAAACACATCTCACAGATGCCAAGTTTGAATCTCCTCTTCAACTAATGGCACTCAGTAAGTGTGTGCGTGTTTGTGCTTTTGTAAGCATGTGCCTCTGTTCTCCAAGTGCGTGTGTGTATTGGTAGGCAGGATGAGCATCCCTTCTGTTACCGTTGCTGTCCCTTCATTTCACGCTCCGGCAGCTCCGCGTGAATCCTCTTCCCTTGGCTCATTATCAGCGCTGTTCAATGAGCGCGCATCCCACCAGAATGCAGGGGAAAATCAAATCATTATTCAAGTATGGGGGTCAGTGCAGACGTTGTGACTCTTTTGTTTAGTATATTTATTACTTTCCCTTCAGGATACGGAGCACATCCCCGCCCAACCTCAATGGGCGAGGTAGTCGATTCTCAAGCACCTGACCCGAGATTGATGAATGCCAGCGCCTGGTGCCATGATTGGATGCTCACTGGTCTCTTCTCTCATTTTTCTCTGCAGCGTCCAGTGTGCACGGAGGAGAGTTCGGACACCTGCCGGACAACATTACAGTGTTGGAAGGAGAAAGAGTCACTTTGAGGTAACTCCTGATCCTACACCTGCACCCACTAATTACATGAAAAATGTGTTTGCATTTCCCCCCACCTGTCATGCTGGTATAATTGCCAATTCTCCATCACGTAACTTCAATTAGGAGCCCCAAATTGTGCCATATTTTTCAGCTCTGTCTGTCCTGTAGCTGATTGAATGATAATAACTGTCACACGTCGCTGGAGTCATGCCGTCTGTCTGCAATCACCTTTTACTTAGATGTAACAATAATGATGCACAGGTCAGCTCGGTGGGCGGACCTCCTCCGCGTCCAACCACACTTGACTAACTGAGTGATAAAGTAGAAATCACAGCTTTCCCCGGCTCCCAACCAAGCAGAAAAATAGCCAACTTTTTTTTTTTCTCCCCGTCGTGTGGATGCGACCATGCTTGGCAGTGCATTCAGCAGTGAAAAAAAAAATCCAAGTCAACATTACTTTCATCACATTTAAGCATACCCCCCCGCCTTCAGTTCTCTGAACAAATTTTTTTTTTAGTTTAGTTTTCTGTTGCAAGAAGAGTGGGCCTTCCACCAAAGTCAAACATATTACAGGTCTGTCAATATTTGTCAACATCAACAAGTCTCTCCTCAAAGTTGGGAATCAAACAACCATGAAGGCTGATCTATAATGCTATCAGGACGTGTAGCCTGAAGCTCTTCTATTGACACAGTGGAGAAGTCAAATCCATATAATTTATCCGGGTGTTTAAACACCAAAAATTCTAAACTGAGTTTCGGAAAATATGTGCTTTCAATGTCACTATTTATTCCTTTACAATTTGGTATCTGGAAAGCTGTGCACTAGCAAAATCAAAACATTTTCATTAGGTAGTGGTAATCCCCCTCAGTTCTTTAAACCAGCCGACCTTTTGGACTATTCACTGTGAGAACAAAAGCTGTGCCACTACTTGTGGCTCCTTTATACATGTTGCATGAGTCTACAATTCACCACTTCAAGCAAAGGCTGATTATTCCTTCAGTGTGTGTTTTATTTGAATACTTTTAAAGAGGTAACATTATCCAGTAACTCACAAGAAAAAACAAACCTGGTTTTTCTTCTTCCAGAAATATGTTTTCTTGAGTTTCCTTCTTGGAAACTCAAGAAGTGATGGGAGATGGTCCACTATTGGGAGATGGTCCACTATTGGTCCACAACCAGCGCTTGAAAACTGTACTTGCGATGCTCCAGATATTATTCTGGAAGCTTGATTTCACGGTACAGATCATCAGTGATGTGATGGCACATTTTGTAATCAGTAAGTTTAGTCTGCTCTGGACAGTCGGTAGCTGACAAACAAACAGCAGACTAAACAGCTTCATAAATAATATCCATTTTCATGTAAAATCACTTTTGCCCAAGTGGCACAAATACTTGTGTTATGCTTGAGACAATGCTGTTGTGTTGGCTTTGATGCGGCCCATTAAGACGCGGCACATTTGATGCTATTATGGTGCTCATTTCCTCTGGGTTTGCAGTCCTGTAGCAACATCATCAGTGCAGAAGTGATTAATTTTAAAAATAGATTAATAGATTGTTTGTACACAGATAATGATCTTCTTTATGGTGGGATTGCTTACTTTAGCGTCTCTTTATCTAAATTAACCAGCCGCAAAACGTAATAAACAAAGTAGTTTCTTCTTCTTTTGCTCTTTTTCTAAACCTGCTTGGCCCTCAGGTCACGTGTCCACCTGAATATCAGCCCAGTGCCTTGTAGCCTGTTTGTAAAAGACTTCCAGGCTAACCTGCACTGTAGCTGTTTTGTATCGTGGTGTCACTGCCACGGACTTGGCAAGTGATCTACCTCAACCTTGATATTTATCCAGGTCACATCAATTAAACATGAGGACAATAGAGGCCTGGCCTTGCAGCTAGTTGAAGCTGGGTAAGGACATCTAGTGGCCAAGCCAAGAACTGAAGTCACACCTTTGCACCGTGGCTCCTGTTTTTGAAGCGTGCCACATCCTTTTTGGAACAACGCCAGGGGTTTACTGCGCTTTAATCAACACACTCACTCATATCCTTCCTTATTTTCATTCATGTTTAATGTTATCGTAAAGACAAAACCAAGCTGTGAAGAGAATAATAATGATTTACACTTCTCATGCAACGCTTTGCTCACAACCTCTTGGATTTCCTATAACTGACCTCAGCCATATTTTCTATAATTTGACCCATTTTTCTCCACCCGTGTAACAGGAGTGATGGGTAATCATTAGTGCAATGTTACCAAAGAGGTTTGTCTGTAACCTCTTGGTAAAACTGCACTAATAATGAGGTGACGAATAAAGGAGAAATTAGAATAAATGAGTGGGGAGACATAATGAATGCGAGATGCTTTGTACAGGGCACGCATGAGGGGACCCTGAATGGTTTGATTAGTAGAAAAGGAAGTGAATCATGTGCTATGACCTTCGCAGGCACTGTATTCCATGTATTTGAACACCTATGGGAGATTTTGGACGGACATGTTTTTCAGTGTTCCCCACCAAAAGAGGGAGTATACTTCAGGAAAATGGTGTCCAATTCTGTCAGTAAAATAAAACTATTTTGAGGTGCATTGAAGCTCGTCAGCAACACTGTACCAAAACACTTTTATGTTGACATTTCACCCGTTTGTACAGCTGTATGTAACGATTAAAACCTCAGCGGTATTTAGCATCAACCCTACTCGTGTCTCTCACTTTCCGGTCCTCTCAGATGTCGGATCGACGAGGAGGTGACCCACAAGGCCTGGCTGAACCGCTCCAACATCCTGTTCACGGGGACGGACAAGTGGTCGCTGGACAAGCGTGTGACGCTGGCCAACAGCAACAACAGCGACTTCTCCATCCACATCGACGAGGTGCAAGTATCCGACGAGGGGCCCTACACTTGCAGCTTCCAGGCCAATAACAAGCCCCGCATTGCCCACGTCTACCTCATTGTCCAAGGTGAACAGCCGAGTCGAGACTGAACAGCAATCTATTATAAAGGGATTTTAAAATGTTTACCGTTTCCAGTATAAGTGACTCATTTCCCTGATATATCCAGAGCCTGTAGATGTGATGCAAATAAAAGCAATGTGTGCATCGATGTTACTGTAAGCACCCTTGGATACAAATTAAATGGCTTAATTATGCATTTCGGCATTCATCCAAGCGTAGTGCCGTCTATTGGGTGTGATTGAGGTTTGACAGCAGGGGAAGCAAATAAGATTTTCTATGGTTAGGTTTCAGTGTTCGTTTTCTATTAAATCAGAGTTAAATCTATGATGGAAAACTATGTAGATAATGTTTGAGTATACAAGGTTGGTATTTATGCTTATATCAAACTGCAATTACTTGCTCATGTTTTGAAAGCTTAGCTGGCCTGTGTATGTGTGCGGCTTCAGTAAAGAAGGCCGAGTGCAGCTGACAGATAACCAGAAAGTCAGTTTCAATAACAAGGCCAAGTCCCAGCCCATTTGTTATTTCCATGTGGTCAGGTAGGGTTGCTTGTCTTCATAAGAGTTAGGCAGATCAGATGGATGAGGAGGAGATGCGGTACACAGGGGGGGGCTGTCCATAGTGCCTGACTTAATAACTGACAGTGCAGGACCACGACTAGGGCTCATTCATCAAGTCAGCAACTAAGTGAGTGAGAGTCTGACTGATCCTCAGTGACATGATGTATTGGCACAGAACTGCCCAGAGGATGGATCTCAGACCTGTTCCCCCTGCGTGTGTCAATTTTTCGCATATTTTGGATAGTCCGTTGTGCAGATTTCATTAATACACCACCGACGGGATGAAAGTGAAAAATTTGTCACGGGATGTATTAGGGTAAATTCTGCTGGAATGTAAAACACGAGGTCTGGCTCACAGCTCACGGGTGGCGGAGACAATGTCAGCAGCTTACTAAGTGAGTTTTCACATCGTACTGCAGCCAAACAAACAACTCTTGTCTGCAGGGTGCGAAGCTTGGCACAGATGACCATATATACCTAATTCCAAGTCGCCTGCAATTCGAGCCCTAACTTGATATCGCACTAAATAATTATACCCTCAAGTCAGTGCATCAAGCAGGAGCAGCTTTACCGCCACTCCAGTCTGTGCTCTATCCCTGCAAGTATTCAACTCCAGCAAGATCCTCGGTAGATGTCTTGCAAAAAAAAAAAGAAGCAATTTCAGGGCCAAGCTCGTTAAAAGCAATGATAATGGGCCATTTAAATTCAAGGGGCCATCATGTTATCAAACTAAATACATGCATAGCGCTCCAACACTTTGTGAGTTTGGGGCAAAGCGGTATCCAGGAGTGGCCATTCACCTAAAAAGTCAAAATTCTGACAACTACTTCTATGCATTTTCTTTAAAATGGATTAAATGTCAGGAGAAGGAGATTTCTCAATTCCCATTTGCAGTAATTTAGAAATCAGTGCATTTTAAGCAGACAGACAAGCATATTGTTTCACAGTTCAGTGAGCGCAGATCATTAATCAGCTGATTGCCTCTCTGTCTTAGGTGCACGGATTTGCATCATACCTTAATAAGCACCTTAATAGGCTGAGGCCATACCTCATCAATAATGTATGAAATAAAAAGGGGATTTTGAGGTCATATTTTAATGGCATGATCTTGTTTTTCAGTGCCGGCCAGAATTGTCAACATCTCAAAAAACGTGTCGGTGAACGAAGGCGAGAATGTAAACCTCTACTGCCTGGCAGTGGGTCGCCCTGAGCCCACCGTCACCTGGAAAGACCAGAAATGTAAGCCACCCCATCTTTCTTGCTTGTCACCACATCCAGAGATCTCTTGTTCACAGCTTCACCTTTATCTCCCCGACTTCACATTCATCCCTAACCTCTTTCATAGTCTTTTTATTTTTTCCCCCCATTTTCTTCCTAAAGGCTTATCAGCATTCAGCTCATGTCCAAGTCTTTATTCCACATACCTGTGTCATCACTCTTAAACCCAGCTGTTAAGTCTGTCACCATCTTAAATTCATACTCTCGGTATTCTCCCTATGTCCCAGTGTTTTCTCCCAAATAACCACACATTATATGTAATTATTCCCACCGTGCCACCTGTAATCATCAGCATCTGTCAACCAGCATCACGATGCCAACCTACGCTAACAGCCACTTAAATCAGCTATTTTTAGCATCCATCATTGTGTGGAATCAGAACTAGTTCAGAGTGGTCAGGATGCAGGACTTGATAGTTGAAGTTAAATCCATTAGATTTGATCAGCACTGCATTTATTCCGGTATCTCTGTTCCTACCTTTATCACCACAAATGGCAAAAAACCAAAACATGGCTTTTAGAGATTTTATTATTTTTTTATCTCCACCAAGAGATAAAGAGATCGGTCGTGTGAATGAGTGTGTGCATGCCTGTGTGTACATGTCTGTCTGTCCACAGCTAACCTTGCATACTGCTACATCAAACTGCATAATATTTTTGGCACTCATTTATGGACAGATGATCAAGGACCTCTTGTGGTTGCAGCGACTCACACTCTGAAAACACCTTTTATACTACCTATTTGATACTGCCAGTGAAGCTGCTGGCCATCTGGATGCCCTAAGTGCAATAGCTTTGTATTATACATCTGCATGAATGACGTTATTATACTGTACCACATCAGCTGGTTTATCAGGACATTGACGCTCTAGTGTCCTCAATGTGCAGGAGAATGTGGAGAAAATGCAAACGCCACACAGAAGGGCCGTCAAGGCCCCTCTTGCTCTGAGTCGACAGTGCTAGCCACCACACCACCATGCAACCCTACTGAATGTGTCTTTCTGGTTAAAACTGTAAAGGTAGTGCTGTATCATTGTTTGGTACATGAAGAAAATTGCTCTGTACTGAATATACAATTGTGCTATGACTCAAAATTCCTCATGTAACTAACAATATTTTTCAACATATAAGCAAAGAATGTTTCTCTTTTGACTTATGTAGTATTCTATTATTTGTTGTTCCCATCAGTTTGGCTAAAATATATTGCACATTGAATGAGCTCCATGGCTTCTTTGATGAAATATGAACACTGAATTTTGTTTGTTGTGTGAGATGTATGCCAATACGTTCCAAAGTATATCTTAGATTGAACTTTTGAGCTTCAACTTTGACAGTTGAGGGAGATATTACAGAAAAAAAGATTACCATTCTAAAGGTTTCTGTGTTTTGAAATTTAAAGTTATGGACTCTTGTGCGGCTGGCGTTGCATCCGTGTCGCAAAAGTCTTGGTTAAAGCATTTTCATCACACAGCAGTATTGGCTGAGTTGTAGCTTGACGACAGCAGCAGAAACGCAGATCAACTGCAGCACAGCGACAGCAATGATAAAAAGGTCAGTGTGAACAACTACTCAACACGCTGTAATTATACTGTATACTGCAAATAAATGCACAAGCTATACTGCACTGCTGTACTTACAGACAGCTTTGGGCTTGCTCAAAAGGTCTGTCCCTCCTCCTCTCTCCCTTGTTTGTCCCTGGGTTAGTCTGCTGTGCATGTAATGTCCTTCTCTGCACAGTCAGTGTTTGTGAACCTACACAGAACCTCAAAAAGGGACAAGCCCATAGTGATCGTTGACACCCAAATATAGAGGAGAAAAGTAAAGCATTCAAGAACGCACACCTGCAGCAAACACACACACACCACCTTACATCAAACTGTGCGGTTGTCCTCACTTGCAAGCCTACAGCATTTCTCCTCTGTCAGCAGTAATCCTCCCTCTCTAGCCGCCCCCACCATCTCACATCGCCCCCCCCAATAACCCCCTGAGCTTGCAGTGGAAGAGATAGGGGCTGCATTGCTATTCCGTGAGAGTTTGTGCAACCAAGCCATCAGTTGCAGGAGACCAGGGGCGTTTGGAGAAAGAGGTGGGGGTGGACTAGCCCAAACAAACAGCAAGAAGCTGCCAGCCATCTGTCCCCATTACTCACAGACTGCATAGAGAAACTGCAGGGAGGGGGGGGGCGAGTAGTATACGTGGAGGTTGAGTGGAAAATGTGCTCGTGTGTCAGGCGGTGGTGGAAGATGAGGAGGTGCAACACCTTAGAGCTGAGACCTGCTCAGTCTTCAAGCCCTTTGCAACTTGAACAGTTACCGTTTCTTACAAACAGATACTGGCCCTAATCTGCGCTCGTTGCAGGCGCCGCCAGCTTCATCTGCACCAAAGCACAGATATCTGTCACACCCATTCACTCTCACTGGCATCCATCAGCTGACCCACTCAAGAGACATACAGGCATGCTGTCTCATTGTGTTAAATACACCAGCGCATCAGGGCCTTATCATTTGACATCCCATCCGTTAAAACACTCGTGGGCTGAGCTTGAACGAATGAATGCATGGTTGCTTCTTGTGGTGGGGAGGAGGAGGCATGCACTTTTCATTAGGAAGTAAGGAATATAATAAGCATAAAGAGTGGATACATTTGTTAGGGAGTTAGATTTTTGAGACTTAAAGGTTTTGGATGTTGTGTGGATCCAAATGCCTGATGACAACAGAGCAGGTAGGATTGAAAAGGGAAGGTAGGTAAGCAGTCAGCAGACCCAAAAAGGACACGTGTAAAATACAGAAACTGACAGGAATCATGAACAGTGACTCAAATGCTGTGCTACAGCTATGGCAGCAAGGCTGATGTGAAAGAGGACGTGCTCGTGTGTGGGTGTATATACTGAGTGGAGTTGATGAGGAACAGGTGTGGCTTGACAGAGAGCACTCACGAGTTTATTTTTGAACTGTAATTTGTCCAGCTCAGTACATATTTTGGTCACAATTACTTCAGTAAACACATGTATTGGGTCCTTATCAAAATTATTTGATAAGGATATTCTTGATATTGTTAACAATCCCACTAAAAGAACAAAACTAATAGCGCTTTAATCCATGTCTGAAACTTTTCTTCCCTTTGGGTAGCCTCAGCCTCAAGCGCATTTGTTCATACTGAAGACAAACGTCTGGGAAAACATGGTTTGAAATATACAGCTTAATCTTTTTTTAAATGACAAATGATTTCCTACAACAGTCGGGCACTTTAGGGTTGAGCAAATGTTACTGAAACGAGTAAATATTGTGTTTCTTGGGAACTTGTTTTCCTGCCGTGGATTAAGACACATTACAGCACCAGGAAGGTGTATGGTGGATTTACTAAAGATGAACTAGTGCCCGTGTTTATGGTGATGAAGAAACATGTCAACGATGCAAAGGTGAATCAATGGAGGTCTCTGGCCAGAGGTGTGGACTCGACTCACATAACTTGGACTCGAGTCCTATTTGAGTTACAAATATGATAACTTTAGACTCGATTTGACAAAATCAAAGAGACTTGCAATTTGACTTGGACTTTAACACCAATGACTTGTCACTTCACTTGGACTTGAGCCTCTTGACTTTAAAATACTTTATATCTTCCGCCAAGGCCAAAGATTAAAAAGTATGTTGTTTTAAAAATGTGCCGCCAATCAATTCATGTCCTGAAAGCACTAAAGCAATTCATTACCAGCAAGTCGACAAATCACTTTGTTTGAACAAATCTGACAGTATCCAATGAAGTTGCAGGAGAGAATCATGAAACTAATGTTACCAAAAGATACCAAAGATGGTTTTGCCCTTGTACAAAAACAATGCGGTGGTCAACAACAAATGAATTGCAGTATGCAAAACTGCAAATGGTATTACATTTGGTGAAGAGCGCATTTGTACATGTTTGTTTTGGGACTTGAATTGGAACTTGAGTGCAAGATCTGGACACTTACTTAATACAAAGCAATGAATACGATGTATCAGGCTTTAGTTATGCAGGATTGATTTATTGTTGGTTTTGGTCTTTTTATGGGATTTCTTGACCACAAGAAAATATAATAAAGAATACTGGTGTCAGGCTCCATAAAAGAAATGTAACTGTGGAAAGAATGTGTAGTTAACTACCTGAATGGAAGACTATGGATTCATTTTAGGTATGCGCATTAGAAGCCCTGGGACAAAGTGGCCTTTGCTGGTTTAAATTCTGCTGCAGCTTCATTTAGCTCGACTAACACACCTTTCATCTCTTCATTCTTCCAAAGGACAGGTTTTTTTTAGTCTGTCAGGCTGTCCATCCTGCTCTGTTGTAACCCAACAGCAGTCCTCTCTGCCTGGACGGTAGTTTTTGTAATGGAAATGGATAAGAGGAGCAGAGAAATCAATTGCCCTGATGATCTAGTCGGGCTCAAAGTGCTGCCGGGGAAATAGAGCACAGTTTCACTGTAGGGCAGGCCAGAGCCCCTGATGCCTGTTTTTTCTCTTCCTCTCATTCAACCCCCCCTCACTCTCTCTCGCTCTCTGTCTCAGGTGCAATCCAACTATCTCTGGTGGTCAGGAGTCAGGCTCCTTCAAAAGCCATAAGTGGTTGATGGAGATGTATTTTACAGGCCATTGTAGGAGTGCCAGGGGCCGGCTCCAGTCAGATATGATCTCCCACCAAAGTGTAGAGAGGTGTGCAATGCCAGTCCACAGGTCTCAGGGGATGGAGGGGGAGGGAGGGAAAGGGAGTAAGAGAGGGCTGCTCTGCACTGTCATATTACATCACACATAGGTGCTGAAGATGAAAAGTCCATGAAAGAACTGACCACATCAAATACTCAACTTGACGTCTGAACTTTTATGTTGCTGTTTCTCTCTTTCTATCTTTATATCTGTGCATCTCTTTCAGTGTCTAGCTCGGTATCTCTTGCAAATGACTGCGCTCTCCGTGTCTGTAATGCGCTCTCTAGCGCTCGATTGCTCTCATTTTTTTTATTTTCTTTGTCCTTTTTATTTCTTGGAAGTCATCTGTAACAGCCTTGTGTGTAATTTCTGCAGTGCTAGTTGTCTGATTATATCTTTTTCTCCGCTCCCCCCTTTAGCAAAGTTGGGTGCTCTGCTTGCATGACAGAGATGTCACAGGAGAGCTATATTTATCAAACTAATGGAATGAGTGAATACCATTGCACCCACCCCATCAGCAAGCGCCCGCCTGCACTTGATCGGGTGGCACAAGCAGCCATCACCGCGGTTGTCGCTTGCTGCTCAGCCTTTGCCGGAGCAGCTGCAAATAATCATCTCCAGCTCAGTAGCCACACTAATAATCCTCCAGTATAATCTTCAATTAGAACCAGCGCGGTAATCTCTGACAGGAATAATCATGGAGTTTAGCGTCTTTTTAGTGTGTGTGTTTTTGAGTCGGTGTTGCTCACAAACGCACTCAGGCGCCATTTGTGTGTTTGTGAGGGCAAGTAAAGGTCCACTGATTGACAGTGGTTGTGTCTATGTTTAGGAGGGCTTTGAAAGGGAAAAGTGAGCGGCAATTTAAGAGCTGGATTTCCTTGTTAGTGGTGAGATTATATATTATGTCATGTTCCACAGTCTGACTTCTTTAATGGGGTAAAGGGGAGGAAAAAAAGGCCTAATGGTTTTGGAGGCTATGAGACAGCTGGCTGCTAAGACTTGCAGGGAGGAGGGGGGGAGGGGGGGGGGGTGCACTCTCATTCTCATTCTTCTTCTCTCTCTGCCGCTGTCGATCCAATAACACTCCCAACATCCATTCCCTCACATGAAGGAGCAATAACTTGTAGCCCGTCTCCTCGACTCTACCCTCTGAAGACATTCGATGGTTGTTTGTCGCTCCAAGGAAAAGGAGTGCGAGACTAACTAATTCGGTTTGGGTGCACCTGGGAGTTTGTCAACATCAAATAAGAGTCGAATATTCTTTCTCAATACTTAATGTAGAGAACAGGCGATCACCCTGGTGTGTCCAATGCATGGAAGAAAAAGATTACAATTTCCCCTGACACATTAAAAGTAACGCTGTCACTGCTGTCAAGTCATGTTTGCATCGATACAAAAATTCACCAACCGACCCATTATTTTAATGAACAAAACAGTTTGAGTCACTAAGCTTGGTCATGGGACAAAAATGATTAAGATGTAATGCATTATTCTTACAGATATTTAATCAGGGTTTGTTGTTAATTCAGTGTCATCATATTTATTTATTTTTTGTGTCATAATTCTTTATTGATTTCATGTTGTTTTCTGTTATACAAATGAATAACGATTCCAAGACGCAATGTAAAAAAAGGGAGAAAAACATTGAGAAATAAAACGCAGTTCATTGCATTAAACATTGATGTGCATATCTGTAATCTTGTTTTTTGATACATATATCAATTTCTTATGAAAATCATGATTTCCTTATACGTTGATATGTGATGTATGTGTGGTGCCTCCCCCATTCTCATAAATCATCTCATCTATAAATTGGTTGTCTGTCCACCTACTGTCGCAGTATCACATGGTAACCCTTAAATCAGTAGCCTGAGTCACCATGCATTCGATGTATAGTGACCCTTGACATCTGCCTTATGTCAATAGACGGGTTGGTGAGTGACGGCGAGTTCCTAGACATCACAGAGATCAAGAGGCAGCAGGCCGAGGACTACGAATGCATCACCAACAATGGAGTGGCTTCACCCGATCAGCGCAAAGTCAAGGTGACGGTCAACTGTAAGTATTCCTCTCTGCGCCACACAACAGCCCAACGGTGATAATTCAAGTCACACTGGACCTCCAGTGTTATAGCACAATGGTGTATAAATTATTTATGTTAATACTAAAGATGCATTATTATGTATGAATTCATACATCTTAATTTTGCTCTCTCCAGTGGGGGTTGTCAACCTGGTTTGCAACCCTGTACTGACCTGACTCGACTTCTCGGTGAATGCACATGTATACTAATTGCTGAATTCCCTCTTCCTCCCTCGTTTTGCTCTGCCAGACCCTCCCATGATCACAGACATGAAGAACATGCCAGCCCATTTGGGTAAGACCGCCATCTTGCGTTGCGAAGCCATGGCAGTCCCGCCAGCCTCCTTCGAGTGGTACAAAGATGACCACAGGTGAGACCAGCAAAGTGTTCAGTGTTCATGTTTCTGCTCCACACTTCAATCCAGCTTCATCTAAAAATACATGTTTTTTTTCTCTCCATGGCCTTCGGCCCTCACTAAGCTGATGAGTTTCACGCACAAAATTATGCTTTTTGAAAAATGCACTTCAGAGTGAAAAAAATCAATAAACGCCGGCCTTGCATTTCAGTATTGATGTCTAAACTCAGCTTCTGAAACAATGGCGTAAAGGCCGGCTCAGACACGGTTTGGAGGCTGTAGAGGTTTTGATTTGTAACGTCGTTGATTGGTCAACGTCTCAGTGCAGCAGCACAGCAATAACAGCCTGCCTGGTTAATATGTAGCTTTTATGAGCCACAATGACGTCAAATTATTATACCAATAATTTACCCGACAACACAAACAGAAAGTATGTTAATGAGACCTGTTGAACTGTGAGTTCAGCGATATTAAAAAAACAGATACAGCAGGTGATAACAGAGAAAAGGAGGGAACAGAACAGATATGCAATTGGGCTGCATCTGTTAGTGGGGACATGAGATCTTTACAAAAACAATCTAGTCATTTTCCCACATGAATTACATTTTCACATTTCGACAGTTTACTGCGGACATATGTAGTCTTGGCTGCCGTCCATTCACCTACCCTCTGACATTAGTAAAGGTCTGAGATAATTGTAAATGTTTTCGCCATCTCTGGGGAAATATTAGCTTGTTCTAAACCTTGCTCTCTATAACCCACACATAATCTGTCCTTCCAAGTTTGTAAAAGGTCCCAGAGAGGGTAGAAGAGTTCGAATGATTTGGCATCAGCCAAAATAAGACGCAGAAGTACTTAGACAAGCCTTTGCCAGCCAGAGAGAGCTGTTAATAGACTATAATGGGCCCCAGCAGGGGGTCTCTGTTATTTATGGACTGTTAGATTTCTCTATTAGTGCAAGGTGAGACAGAGTGTGTGGAGGGGGATTGTGTTCCATGGTCGTCTCTGGAGAGATGGAGAAACAAAAAGCCTCTTTGGCTGAGTTTCTAGGTGTAATGTTATGTTGTGTTATCTCGCTTTTTCTAACACACAATTTTTCTCTTTTTCTTCCCGCTTCCCTCCTTCGCTTTCGCTCCCCCACCACTACCACCCAGGCCGGTAGAGAGTGACAACACCCTTAGGATCAAAAACGAGAAGACGCGCTCACTGTTGCTGTTCACCAACGTGACAGAGAAACACTTTGGCAACTACACCTGCTTTGCCTCAAACCGTCTGGGAGCTTCCAACGCCAGCATGCTGCTGTTTCGTAAGTTATCACATAGAAGGCACACGCAGGTGCATTGCGCACAATGACACGGTGTGCACATGTGTGCAAGTCCAAGCTGCCACAAGAACATAAGTGCACTCGCATTAATCTGACGTGACTATCAAAGAGACGTGACATGCTAAAAAAAAAAAATACACAATACATATGCAACGACACACTGTTTTTCCCTCTTCGCCCACTCTCATTTTTGCTCTGCACACAGCACAGCGTTTTCTCAGCCCTCTCCTCCCTCCTTCCTCCCCATTTTCCGTTATTCTCCGCCCCATTAAAGCTTTGCTTGCCTATATTACCGTCTCTCTCTCTCTCTCGTTCGTTCAGGCTCTCACCCTGCATCTCTCGTCCTTACACATTCCTGCATACACACACAGTCGCTCTGCTCTCTCCCGTTACCCAAGAAGTTGTCATTTCTCTCCATGCCCAATTCACATTAACCATCCCCAATGAGCGATTTCCTACCCTTCCACCCCCCC